GGTTGATCCGGTGCTTCATCTGACCCTTCGGCTCATCGTCCTCTCCTTTAACGTATTATCCAATCGGCATGTTGACCTCCTACAACATCCGATATTCTTGGCACAATATCCAATCCTTCTGGTCCGATGCCTGAACTCATAGAACAAATCCTTCTACCAGCACGTCGACCAATCTTCTAACATTGTCCATTCCAGCCCAATAACTGATTTTTTCTACTTTAATCAATTTGTCTCTTCTTGATCGAAGCTAGTTCTGCGTCACTTAAATACACATTAGATCATAACTTTATCAATTTATTTTATCATCAAAATCCATGTTTCAATAGATATATCATATTTTAGTAAAAATAGAAAAAATATGGAAAAAAATAAGAAAGCTATAAATTGTTTAGATTTTGAATAAATCAAAAAATAAAAAAACTATAAACTAGAAAAGGAGTCGTATATGCCCATTTGGATCCAATTCAAAGCTTTAATTTATTAATTATATATTTCATTTTTATTATTTTTATAATTTACTATATTTTTATATATGTATTTATTATTTTTTAATAATATAAATTGATATATAAGTACTTATTTAATGGAATTATTTTTTATATTAAGATGATATATTTTTATTGATATTTTCTATATAAATTTAACTTTTACAGGGCAAAATTAGTAAATAAATAATTTTAAAGCTTAAAAATAAAAAATAATGGTCATATAGACCTTTCAAATTTATTTTTAAGTATCTTAAAAATTTTAAAATTATATATTTTCTTTTTAAAAAATATGTAAATAGTATTATTATATTACTCTTGAGTTTATAGTTAGAAAAATAGTATTAAATTATTTTTATTTTTAAAATAATTTATTATATTATATATTATTATTTGTAATAATATAAATTGATAAATAAATTAATTATTTAATATAATTTATTTTAAAATAATTTAAGTTTTAGATTGGTTGAACTAGTTCAACTGTATAGGTTGGTTCATTAAAAATGTAGTATAGAAGATGGCAGCTTTTAATGGGAGAGATAAGATAGCAAATTTTAAGGAGAAAAGACAAAAGTTATTGGAGGGTTACTTACACCATTTTGGAAAGTTGAGGCTCTCTTGAATGTTAAACATAGTGTTTGTGCTGACCAAGCAAACTTGCCAGAACATAAAGATTTTTAATTCAAATTCGAGCATTTTATACATCCTTTAATATAATACTTTTTTTTTCTAGAAAATCAGAATTCCTATCAAGTATAGTTGACATCGTTTTACAAATTTTAGGGTAGATAAGAGAATCCAAACCGGAAATCAGCACCCAAAGGAATATTGACACAAGCAAAATGAGTTACAACTAATACACTTCAGATACTAGAGTGACATCTTTCTATCATAATTTTTTATTAATTAATAATAATTATTAAAATTTAATCAAATTTATAATATATTTTACCTAATTATATAGGACCACATAGTCTAACTACTATAATATATAAATGTTCAACAAGGCCAGCGTGTAATATGGAAAGTGCACAGTTAATTGTGGAGAATACACTAACTGTAGCTCGTTGGAAACGTGATCCTATTTTATTCTAGAATCTTACAGCTACAATTGATGTTATTCAACATTCAAACATAGAGTTTGTGCTGACCAAGCAAACTTGCCTGAACGTAAAGATTTCTAATAGTATAGCTATTTTTTATTAAAAAAGTCAACATAAATTAAGCAAGTGGTGCAGCGAGTTGAACGCGAGAAAAACCAAAATTACCGGGTAGATGAGTGCAAGCAGCCCTACAGATTTCCTTCAGAAGGCCTCTCCCTCTATTCCACAGTTCAAATCCTCCTTCCTCTCTTGCTACTGCAACTCATGGCAAGCATGGGATCCATCAGGGATGTGATGCAGCTGACGCTCGATGAGGACGAGGAGGCATGCACGTACGCCCTGCATCTGGCGATCGGCTCCGTCCTCCCCATGGCCCTCAAGGCCGCCATCGAGCTCGAGCTACTGGAGATCATCGTCAGGGCCGGCCCCGGCGCCATGCTCGGCCCAGCCGACATCGCGGCCCAGCTGCCAACCGCAAACCCGCAGGCTGCAGTAATGGTGGACAGGATCCTCCGACTGCTCGCCGCCTACAGCGTTGTCAGCTGCACCGTCGAGGCCGGCGACGACGGCCGCCCCTCGCATAAGTACGGCGCCGCGCGCGTCTGCAAGTACTTGACCAAGAACGAGGACGGCGTGTCCCTGGAATCCATGAGTTTGATGAACCAAGACAAGGTCCTCATGGAAAGCTGGTAATCAGGAGAGAGCGTTAACCGAAAGCAATTAACTCTTCTCGTTTCTTGTCGTACTATTTAATCTGCTTGGGTTTCTCGTCGACAACGGTGGCAGGTATTACTTGAAGGATGCGGTGTTGGAAGGCGGCATCCCCTTCAACAAGGCCACCGGGATGGCGCCGTTCGAATACCACGGAAGCGACCCGCGGTTCAACAGGCTGTTCAACGACAGCATGAGGGGTCGCTCCACCATCCTCATGAAGAAGCTACTCCAAGTCTACCGCGGCTTTGACAGCATCAAGGTGCTCGTCGACGTTGGTGGCGGCATCGGCGCCACACTCCACATGATCACCTCCAGGCACTCCCACGTCAAGGGCGTCAACTTCGACCTTCCTCATGTCATCTGTGAGGCACCACCCTACCCAGGTAGGTCCAACATGTAATGATTCAACGTAAGCACTTCTACCGTACCCAGTCGTACGTATTTATTAAGAACGATTCTTGTGTAGTATTTGACTTGCATTCATTCTTGGGATGTATTGGCTGCAGGAGTGGAGTATGTTAGTGGAGATATGTTTATAGGAATCCCAAGTGGAGATGCCATTTTCTTGAAGGTAATTAGATCTTGTCTAAGATGCAATTTCTACCTGGATCAGTTGGATGATCGGAATGACATGAGACACATCACACAAATAAAGTAGGACAATCAAGAACATGTGACTTATGTTATATGATTACAATTTAAAAATGATTGAGATTGCATTTAGAAATATATTTATATTTTTAATATGTAATTGAATAAAAATTTTTGAGTGATTATATAGTTATAAAATGCTTTTAGTGTTTGATAAATAATAGATGAAGACTGTATTTTAAATGTACATTGATGTAAGTATTATTTGATAAATTATATTTCAAAAGTCCATTGAATATTTATGATAAATTTATCATTCTAATATTTTTAATATTTTTATTTTATATTTAAACTAATATGTAAATAAATAAATAAAAAAATTTAAATATATAATAAATAAAAATATAATCATATAATAAATATAAAATATTTTTAAAAATAAGTAGATAAAATTTTATCTTTTAAAAAATATAAATTATATTAGTTTCTAACTAAATCATTTTAATAATCTTATGATTTTAGATAAAGTCGTAAGATATTTTTAAATTTTAAAAAATTACACTAGTATATCGCAAATGCTGAAATGCTACTGAAATAGCATCTGCATTTGACCATTTCAGATGCGACTTGAAAAAAATATAGTAAATACTGATTCAATACCAATTCGTATTTGAAATGTACATTAAAGATTCGTATTTTAAACACTTCAAATAACATCCAGACTAGATACGATTTAAACAAAATTTATTAAATACCGATTCACGCATTAGTACATTGGAATCAATAAACAATTGACTATTGCCTTTCCGTTATAGTTTTTTTTGGACTTACCTTTATTAATATTGACAAAGAAATTAAACATTCAGTGGATTCTTCATGATTGGAGTGATGAGCATTGTGTGAAGATATTGAAGAATTGTTGGAAGGCACTGCCCGAGAAAGGAAAGGTGATTGTGTTGGAAAGTGTTCTACCAACAATCCAGGAGTCGACTCCTCAAGCCAAATGTGCTTATGAAACAGATGTTATCATGTTGGCTCACAGCGATGGAGGCAGGGAGAGGACCCAAAAGGAGTTCCAGGACCTGGCAAGGGATGCTAGCTTCTCAGGATTCAACATCACTTATCTCTTCGCCGCTACTTGGGTCATGGAATTCACCAAATAGATTACTGGAAGCTATATATATATATATATATAGACACGCACAATGCTCAATCTCATTTTATATTCACAATGTTATCTTACTTGTTTTGCTTTATAAGACTACTTGGTTGTCAGCTTGTATCCAAAATAAAGTTTTACAACAGCTAATGGATCCTGATTCTGTTGTCAAACATAGCATCCCGAAGTTTTGTTTCCGCTTCACAAGACATCCCATGCACTATGTTGGCAGAGGTCAAATGTAGTAACATATGGCTGGAAACAAACACCAGTCGCGTAATAGATCAAGTCACCGATTTGCATGTTTATAATGAAACCGTAGACTCAGGTAATTAACTGCTGCATGAAAGTGAGTTGATCCTGACGCAGCCATCTCCATCTTCGCTGTAGGCCATTGTTGACCCGTCACTGGAACCAAAAGGTCGCCAGTGACCTCTCTGTGCATCTGGATCATGCATACAAACAGTACATATCGTTTTCTCAAGTGTAGTGGATATATATATATATATATATATATATATATATATATATATATATATATATATATATGATATAATATCCAAGCCAAAAAACATTACCATTGTCTCAGCGTGGAGCAACCATTTTATTATCTTTTTTATTTATTAATTACTTTAATTTTAATTATTAAAATTTTTTAATTCTTTTGAAGATTGTTAGATTTAATTTTATAAAAAAATTAAAGTTAAAATTAAAAAAAATATTTTTGGCCGTTACATAATGAAAGGATGTGTAGGGACTGTATATATCCTTCTATATAGAAATATATATCCTTTTATGATAACCTTACGTTTTTGGACTCCATAAATAGAGTCTTAAAACAATTTTTTCTCTTTAATTTAATTTAGATTAAAACATTTTTGTTTCTCTTTATGATAATCAATTCAATTTAGATTAATACATATTTTTCTCTTTCATAATTTTTTAGTATATTTATTTTGATTTTATATAATTGCTCGGCTCACTAAAAGAGATTAGTTAAGTGATCATGTTCACAAGGGGGATAATACTAATTGAATCTTGAAGTGAGAATCTCGATCAATCCTACACATAGAGATGAGATTTTACATTAAGATAGTTATTACAAACCTTTGGATTCTTTCTAAATTTTATTCTTCTATTTTATTATTTTAATATTTGATTAATTTTTAATCAAAATTTGAATATCTTATCTTTTTATCTCAATAGTTTAAGATAAAATCTCGATGGATTTTGATTAGGATGCTAATAAAGAGTGAATATGATTAAGACTGATTTAGGTCAATATTTGTTATTTTTTAAACTGAACGTTCCACTAGTGTGTAATTTCATCATATAATAGTTGTAATTTTATCAGTTCATCGGAATACATTTCCACTAATGGATTAGTAAGTTTCACTTTCTATTTTTGATTAGATATTTGATGACTGACATGTCAAATGTGTGTTATTTATGGGCCGATATCGCTGTACAGTTTTCCATTTATTCAAAATGAAAGTTATATATATCGATGTACAGTGTTTCATTTATTGAAAAGGAAAGTTATATACTATGTTTTGTTAGCCGATTTGTGTTAGAAATCCGTAATCACCCTTTTGGTTTTTAGAATTTTCGGTGTGTCCTTTACTTCCACAGCATTCAGACGTTTCCTCGTGCATGAACAAATGCCGTGCTTCCTATGCTGGTTCTACCCGTTTTGTACGTGCAATATGGCAATGTTTTGTTGGGCGGAAAATGCTTTTTAAAACATTTCTTCTAGCTACATCAATATATCATTACTAATTCATCTTGACCAACGATGATTCAGCATGTACATGTCACGTTGTTGTTGTTGTTGTCATTTTAAGAAATATCAACTAAAACATCATATACATGTCGCTTTACCGTTTCAGGTTCTTAAAACTTCGAATAGCTCCTCATCACTTGTGACTGTGTTCTTTAGATCTGTCGAACTAATCTTGGCTTTCTGTTACTGTGAAATTTAATTTCTGCTCGTCGAAGCTTTGTTTTTTTGCTAAGCGCATGCCTGCACGCAAACAAAAAAATGTACTTAAGTACTAAAATATGTTGACAACACTATATGTTCCTTTGTGAATTTTATATAGTGTGAATGGAAGGTTGTGTTTCTGTCCATGTTGCTCGTTTTCTTTGTGTTTCTTTCCAAGAATTGTTGCTGATTAGTTTTTAGGATCACATGATTCATAGAGCATCCATGATCTATAAATTATGATCTAGTACATTGATTGCTATAAATTATGTTTGATTTAATAGACAAATTTTGCAGCATGGTTTCTACAAAATTATCTCTAGAATTTAAAGTATATATATAAATATTATTGTTTTTTGAATTTTTGATTAATTAGGCTTTGATTTCTTCAATTGAATCATCGAATCTCTAATGTCTTTTAATGTTGCGAAAAATCTACCAAATATTGGTATTAATTCTTCTCTGATATCATTGTGAAGAATTGTTACTTGGTTTGGTATGACGTGATACTAGGATTTATAATTATTTATTATTTTGCAACATGATGTGGTATAGTGCCAAAATTATATGATATTCTTTCTCAACTTTAAAATTTATTGTTAAGAATATGCAGAGGGAACTATTTGGATGGATTTTTAAGTCATGAATAATAATATCATGATTAAAGTTATGAGAAAGAAAAAGACTCGAGTAATACTTAAAAAAGAGCTATAATATTTAATAAACTTGAGAATGGATGCTCCATCAACCAAGCCTGAGCTTTTATATACCCCAAAATACCTTAAGAATATAGTAAAAAATTCAAATCCCATAATTTTAGGAAACGAGTGGTATTACCATCGTAACTTTTGATGTCGTAATTCTAGACTTCTATAATATTACTATCATAAAATTTAAATCATGGATGATACTACCATCGTCATAGGTGGTACCATTGTCAACAAGACTAACAAAGTACAAATAGTGCTTATAAGTTGACTTAAGTGGTACTATCACTTGGACCTGATGGTACCATCATCTAAGCCTAGTTTAGGCCATTGATTTATCCTTTTAATGAGCCTAATTTGATCCAGTTTCAAGCCTAATAATTTTCTTGACTAATTGGTATTATTTCGATCCAATACCAACTCAAATTGACCCAAAATGACATCGATCTAGATTTTGACAAATCAACCATACATCCGATAAATTTATAAAGCTTTCGGCATATTGTATGCTCTTTTGACATATCGTCAGATTATCTAACTCAAATTGACAAAAAAAA